CCATTCCCCACTTCTGCGCTGGCAGGTTGCTTCTGTCTTGTATGAGTCTCTTCAGAGGGTTCTTCACATGGATAAGTCTTCATCACTGAAGCTGAACGACATCTGGGTATCGCTGCGCCCTCACTTCAGAAAGGTCCACACGCTCACGCCCTCCCCCCCCTCCCTCGAGGTCAAATACGACCCCCCTCGCTTGAGTGATTGACACAAGATGGCGTGCCCTGGTGAAGGCGTCATTAGACACGTGCAAATCTGACCAGTCGTTTTGACAACTTTGACAGGAGGTTTTGACAACATTGACAGGAGTTCACAGAGTGCTTGACAGGTGATAACAAGATAACAGGCGTACAGGGTGTTAATGAGGCTGTCTAGTAGTCACCAGGTTACAGCTCTTGCTGCTTTCACAAGCGCCAACAGGTACCCCCCCTCCAAAGTTTCAGCGCAGATTTTGTTTTCCCTGATTTCATGAGGACCCGCATCGATGCCGGGAATGCTGCGATTTTTGACTACGATGCGCGCACTTGATTCATGTGATGCGCCTCGTAACCTTGCGCGCCGCTCGCCCGCAATACTACTCTTCGCACTTGTGGCGTGATGTTCTATTATGAAGATGTTTGTTCTGACAGGATCGTCTTTATTCTAGCAATTGACCTCGGTGACTGCCACCATGGGGTTGGTTACTGTAGTAATGTATCGGGGATAGACTGTGTAAATGCACACAGTCTTGACATAGATTCCTTTTATGATTGTTCAGGAACCAGTAAACACTGCTTTCACTCTTACACTGCACTTCCCCGTAGACTTCACTGGGATCTGTTTCAGATGGTAATGGAGGTTTGTATGCGGCACTTGCTGTCCATTTGGCACAGATGAAAATGCGTGGCGTCAAGTACTTCCATGTGTACTGCATCGACAACATCCTCTGCAAGGTGGCAGACCCACATTGGCCGATATTTGTATTGTCGAAACCATGCAGATGTTCTAACGAAGGTGAGCCTTTGTTCAGCGTTGTATATCTGTACTTAAACGTCCCGGACTTTTATTCCGAGGCCTCGTTCCTATATGATCAGATAGTTTACCCTCTTTAAGGGCTTGTAGCCCCAGGTGGTGCAGTAGCAAATAGCAAGCTTATGGTGCGCGTGTTCCGGGTGCCAAATGCTGGATCAGCACCCGTCCAGGCGAACCAAGGCCTCTCTGGCAGGGCAATAACACTGACTCGTCAATAGCTGGCCCCCGCAAGTCATTGTATAGGCCGCATCGCATTCAGTAGACCAGTAGAATTTTTGTATGGAAGTGGAAATCGTGCCGCCTCCAGTTTGGCCTGAGCCTAGAGGAATTATCTTTGACTGAATTAACCCACTTAGTTTTGTGTAGGAAGGTGTGGTTTTTTAATGCAGTGCAAGCACTGCACGAAGTGCTCGAGCAGTCAACCTCAGTTCATTCTTCTTTTTTTAGAGGCCGATAGTCTTAAGGGGAATCTTACCTGTTTCATAAATGAGGAGATCTGTAAAATCCTGTGAAGCTAGTAGAGTACGCTGTGCTACAAGCTGAATTACATGATGAAACTCATACCACGTTTACTTCACAAGAGTTTAGGTTGTACCAAGGGACTAGCACCCCTCCTTCTCCCCCCCCTCCTCCTAAAAAACTAACGGCAAGCACCCCTCTGTCTGACCTATCAGAAAATGAAGCGAGTCTGGAAGTTTAACTAAACGAAGTTTTTTTACATTGTATTTAGTTGACTGAATGCAGAATGTCTCGTCTGATTGATATATGGGGAAACGAAGGCCAGTATTTCTCGAACTACCATTGAATCCATTTCAGCGTTCACCATTCTATCAATCCTTGAAAGGGCAGATCCCGCTCCCTGTTTTTTTTATTTGAGAATTGCTCTTTGGGTCGTTCCCCACAAAGTGTTTTGTTACTTGTATAAGGGATATTTGGCCGAGTTGTATGAGCGGATCGCTCACAGACATCATGCGCAACAATAGCGGCTGGCTTTGCGCTGCTATCGCACCTGATGACCGTATGCGGTCAGACCGAAAGGGGATAGCCGAGGACACTGGTAACCACGCCAATCATCTGTTCATCATAACGATCTGCGCCCGTTTGTCATCACTTGACGAGATGTTTTGAGCGTAATGCGATGGAGCATGGGACAAGCTGGCAGCTCCCAAGTTGCTCAGGTTTCTGCCGTTCTAGGGATTACTGAATGCGACGGACAAGGGGGGGGGGGCATAGTACCCATGGAACTGGAAATGGAGAACAACCTCAGTCGGGACAAAGGTTGTTCGGGTATGCGAAGAGACATGACGGGTGACTAGACCACGCCATGTCTTCTTCTGTGCAGAATGCCCCTCTAAGCCTAACAACGGTTGAAACCCTTTCCAAGGTTAAATACGCTAAGATTTTGCCCGCTATCTGACTAGTTACTCCAGTGTAAGATGTCGCTTTTAGTTCTTTACTTTCATTGCTGTTGTTTGCTCATTTTGTGGGCATGTGTGCTTATGATCGAGTACCAGTGCAAAGGCCTTTAACGCACGCAACAAGGGCGGTTTACGTTTTGAATGACTATTAGAGGGATTATCGCGGAACTGATAGCCGAACACATACGTTGCCACGAGGAACCACCACGATCGGGTCGCCTCACCGCTTCTTATGTCCCCATATTGCGCAAGTGTACATCGTATGCACAATGTACTGTAACATCTGCCTGCGATCATCTCGTATTTCAAACTCTTGAACTCGACATGGACCTTGTGAAGTGGGTTACTTGTATTACTCATGCTCTTGCGCGATATGTACTATGCGACGATCACATGATTTTGGTCAGTTCTGTGAATTGCGAAGCGCTTGGCCCTGGCGCTCTGGCGCTCTTTAGCTTCGCCTCTGCGCTCTGTCGCGAAGCAATTCTCCCTTGTAGCTTTTCAAGTGCTCTTGCTATTTTGCCGCGGGCTGTGTGCAGTGGAATGGCGAGCGATTGTCAACAGCCATTAATTTATTGCTTTTCGCCTCTCTAACCGAAATGAATATCGAGAACGAGCATACGCTCATGAAGAGAGATCAACAGAATTTGTGGTGTCTTTCTAGAAAACCCTGGAGTTAAGAGTTCGGGGCTAACAGTTTTTTTTTGGGAGGGGGGAGGAGGGGTTCGAAGGACTCCTTGCATAAAAGTGGGACTATCGTGATCAGGGCACGTTCTGTCGTTGGGTCGTGTTTTGTCTTTTTACACCCCTCCCTCTCCCATCCTCCATCCTATTTGTCATCTCCTTGATTTCTACCAGCTTTCCCGGTGTTTTATCCAAAGAATTCTTCGCTTTTTTTCTGAAAAAAATTGCCTTTGGTCGAGGACGAGGGTGAGGGGGTGTAACAGTGCACGTGATACAGGAAAACTGAGGGAAGTTAACAACCAAAAACATTTTTCAGAAAGGCAAACACGTCTTTCCCCCCCCCCCCCTCCAACCAGCGACTCAATACGACCCTTACCCTGCTCGGTGAGGTTCCCCAGCGTACGACGTGCCCTAACCGTGACAGAGATGAGTTTTCTCCAAGCCTACAGGGGGAAGGTCCCCCAGCATGAGTGAGCGAGACGGTAATTTCCAAGTACGGTGATTTTGCGCCAATGACGTAATCAAACAAGATCCCTCTCTTCCACAAGGAGTGCTTTAATGCCCCATCTAAAGGTTATA